TAGCCTTATCCCCTGTGGCCACAGAGAAAAGCTCATTTCCATCCTTTCTCTCATTGCCATTCAGGTATTTGGAAACTGTTATCAAATCCCCACTCAGTCGTCTCTTCCCCGGACTTACTAACCCTAGTTCTTTCAGTCTTTCCTCATAAATCATGCTTCCAGGCCTCTGCTCATTGTTGTTACTCTCTACTGGACTTTTTCCTGATCTGTCCACATCTTTTTGTCAAGTGTGGAGCTAACACAGATACAGTACCCCAGGTAAGGCCTCACTAATCCTGAATAGGACAGAAGAATCCTTTTCCTTGATTTTTAAAGTGACAACCCTGTTAATACAATCCAGTATATTATGGGCCTGTTGGAGGGGAAGGAGGGTCCTGCACTGGCCTCACTTGGGTGCCATGTGTAGTGTGGCTCTTAGTGCAGTCACTATATGCAGCATGTATCCTAGATTGGCTGGGGCAGAATCCCTGTGGTAGTTGCCTATATCCCCCAGAGCAAACACCTTAGATACATTATTAATAACCTCCAACGCCTCTTGGAAAAGGATGACTGTCTCAAGGTACCACTGGGGGCAAGCCTGTCCCGGCTTATAGAACCTCCAATGCCATAAGTCAAGCAACAGACTAAATCTCTTCCTCACTAAGGCACCAGGCCTTGCAATGGACACAGTTGCCTACTGTATCCCCACATCAATACAGACCACATCAACGGTGGACCTGATAATGAATAAAACATCCAAGGCTTATTCACTTGCAACTCTGTCAATGTCATGTAAGCCATTGCCTGCTTACAATGCCTGTATGCTAGTTATATTGGACAGACACGGTGATCTCTGCGTGTAAGAATGAATGAACACTGGTCTGATATCAGTTGCAGAAAGGCACACAAGCCTGTGGCAGAACGCCTCAACCTCCTTGGATACTCCACTGCTGACCTCAAGATTGCTATTCTTGGGCAGAAACATTTAAAAAAACAGTTTGAACAGGAAATTTTGGAACAACTTATCATTCACATAATAGACTATGTTAAGTGTGGTTTAAATGGGGACTACAGATTCTTATCCCATTACCTGGATTCTCTTCTGGGTTCTTTACTTGTATGTCTCTTTTGGTGCTCCCCTTCTCCTTTCCCCCTCCCTCCTGCTTTTCCATTTATTGTATTCTAATCACTCGCTCTATTTTATACTGTCTTCTGTGCTGTCCGTTCCCAGCATCTGGCTTCACAAAAGCTTGTGCTGTCTCTATATCTATCTTTTATCTAGGTATGTCCGTACCATTATTTCCCCAAATGGCTTCTAAACTTCTTTTTAAAGTCATTTGTGATTAAAATTGTAGAGGGGAATGACAGTTCTGTGGAAAAATAGAGATTTTAGCCAAATCTACTGATATTCTTTGTATGAATAATTTGTGGGTAACTGTACAGAGTAACTTGTTTATTTTAATTTCACTGAATCTGTCACCATTAGCAAACAGGGTTTCCACACTTTCAACTTGCTTTCATTTTTCTTCTCTGCACTCCTTATTGAGTAGTAAATTTTGTCTCTCTCTCTTCCTAACAGCCACGTTCCCCCCAGATAGTACCTGTCTTGATCCACTTATCCCATAGGATAATCCACTTATGAAATAGAGAACATGGAATCAGCTTTCATTAGAGCAGATCAGTAAAATATAAGGGGAATTACCTGTCATTCATTTGGCCTGTGTATATTAGTATTCTTAACAAGTCAGGTCATCTTTTACATAGAATACTAATGCTAAGAATTTATCCATGCAGTTACAGGTGCTCTGAATTTGCACTGCATAATGCTGTTTCCATAAGTTTAGTCCTGACTTAATTTTAAAAAGTGAAGCAAGCTAAAGTTCTTGAACATGTAATGCAAAATTTAGTAAGCTAACACAGAGGAACTTCAGCATGCTCTTTGGAATACCATATATAAGCAGGCATAACATATATAACCAGTGCCTTGTTATTGTAGGAATTTAAAGAATTGAATTTAATCAATTTTATAATAATCATAAACTGCTAGTTTGAAATGACCTGTTTAGACTTTAATATTAAAACTACCAGAAGGATGGACATAGTCATATAGCTATCAGTATGCAAAAAAGGAGTCCAGTCTTCTGAGGTGTAGTAGGTGATTATGGCAAATATTTGATACTCATTCTTTAATAAATTAGCATCCAAGTTAACTACAGATCAGACACCATCAGCATTACTGCTGTCTGTTTTGTGGATGTTTAGGGAATTCTGCCAAGAGCAGTATGGGAGGAGGGGTGGGAACATCATGGCGCTTGTTTTGAATGAGAGTGATGGAAGGTCACATCAGAGGCAATTGGAGGAGAAAGTTGACACTGTGAGGGTGAATGACAGATAATGGAGGGAGTAGTATGTTGTGATGAACTTTGAAGTGAGGGTGAGTAGCTTTGTTTTGTTTTGTTTTGTTTTTATAGGGATAGAGAAGCAGTAGCTAATTGGGAAGGGTGACATAATTTCCCTCAGTTGTTTGAATTATCTCTGCAGCAGAATTTTGCAGTAGAAGTGAGTGAGGCAAAATGACGTTTGTGAAGGGCAGAGCGAACACTGTTGCAGAGATCAAGGCACAAGAGGAGGACCTGAGCAAGTGTTTTAGCTGTGACAGTAGATGGGAAAGCCTGTGCCTTGGAGATTTTGTACAGAAAGAATCAGCAGGATGCAAGGCTTGAATCAAAGATGATGCTCTGTTTATAGGCCTTCCTGTTCTGGGGTTTGATTAGCAGAAGTGCTAACTGTTCTCAGCTGCAGCTGAAATTAATTGTAGTAGCACTTTGAATATATGAGGTACAAACATACTGCTAAGAACCCTGAAAAATTGGCCTTTAATTACCTCAAATTTAGTGTCCCAAATTAAATAGAAACTTTTGACTTTTAGTATCTGCATTGAGCTCCTAAATGCAAAAAGGGGGTGATGATAACCCCTCACCTCAAGAAGATGTTGAGATAATATTTAATGTGCAAGAAGCACTTGTCTCTGTGATGCTCATCATAATAGTACACCCCTGAAGAAATGTAATAATCTGTCTTCATGGATGGGTTTGAATAGCAAGCAGTAAGTAATGTATTGGGCCAGACACTGATCATGAGGAACAAACCAATATTGAGGAGCACTAAAGGAGGCAGGTGTTTTGTGGAAAACATAGCCTGTGATCGTGAAATCAAAGCACTCCAAAGCAAGCGCACTGACTTCGCAATCTTCACTGTTTTGTAGAATTAATGTTTGTTAAAGTATGTGGAACTAAGCTATCTAATACACTTATGTCTTATTGCATGTGGAGGCTGCACCATTTGACTTCTTTTTAAACTGATATGGGTAAATTGGTACAAAAATTGTGTCCACACAAGCTGGAAAGGTTCAAACAACATGGGAAATCAACTTTATTTATTTGAGCCTTGACTGTTCATGGGGATGGTTCACTGTAGTGAGCTGTTCTGTAGAGAAGGAAAACTTTTCTGGGTGGGACAGAGGCACTACAGCTGCAGCAATAAATGTAAAGCCATGAAATGTTAGTAAGATATTCTGGACTCCCTTTTGATTAGAGGGTAGTGGGGATACAAAAAATCTGTGAAATCAAGTGCATACTACATTGGAATCATTAGAAATGTTAGTGGCAATTGCAGCAGCTTAGGAGGGCCTCTTAGTTTGGTAGCTGTCGTGTTACGGGTGTGGGACCAGGAAACATGGAGACATTAGTGCATAATAGGGCCAGTTGGTGTCCCCTGACTTTCAAATAGGAACAAATCTGTTGTCTGGTTCTGGGATGATTGCTGAACCTAGGTAATAGTTTTTTATTTATTTTTTCCTTTAAATACAATTATGCCTGCTGCTTGCACCTGTGCTTTGAATGTTTCAGTGCTTGTGCACCTTTTTTGCTGAGTCACTTTGAGTTCTGTATTTATTATTTCTTTAAATTGGACATATTTGATCAGGAAGAGTACAACTGCTTGATTTTTAGCTGGACTTTCATATTCAGCTTGGTTCTTTTTGGCTTGCATATCACCCAGCAGTAAAAACTCTGTGACTTAATTTCATCAGTACATTTGACATGCTAGTGACATCTGATACTGGCTAGCTCTCCCATGGTTTGTATTGGCTTAGTCAAAATATGTGATTCCATACTTAATATGACAAAGTACTTAAAACTGAATTAGCCAGAGGGTGTAGGCCTTGCTGGGGCATTGATCAATGTATGCTGCTCATACAAAGGCCTTGCTAAAGCATTGCCAGAATAGGCCTCACCAGTCAACTGATGGATGCCTGAACTCTTCACATAAACAAAACTTGGCATGTGAACCAGATGTGCATTCCTAACAAGAGATAGGAGGCGGGGATTAGTCTAGTAACAGGATAATAAGGCTGGAATGGGAACACCCAGGTCAGAATGTGAAACAAGCTTAGGGTACAGGTCGGTTTGAAGCATTCAAGAGACAGATGGAATGAAATATGCAATTTGTTTTGATCATTGTATAAAAAGAGAATTGGAAAGCAAGGTAATTTTGTAGCAGCCTGGGGGAGACTGGTGTTGTGCCAACTGCCTTGTCACAGGTACAAATGCCTTAACTTCTGGTCTGATGTGCTTGTTAGAACAAAACGTGTTAAGGCTGTGCATCTAGACAATAAACAAGGTCGAATCTTTGCTGCTGAACTGAGCCTGTGGTCGTTCTTTAAGACGAGATTGGTGTTGGAATCTCTTGGCTGTGACTTGTCGACACTGCAGTTCCTGAAACTTCAACACCGACGACACATCAATAACACCCAACAAGGACAACTGCAACGATGACACTGATGATAACCCCAGATGACAGAGGGTAGTAGGTCTTTCAATTAAAAAGGCATCCTTTCAGCGTGAAGGGCAGTTCTGCTTTGTAAAATAGCTTGTGTCATCCATGATTGCCGATGACCTCTGCCAAGGTTGGGTGGTAGTTGTGCATACAACCTCAAGCTTGCAAAGAATTGAACAGATATTTTAAGGAAGTGACTTGTAGAATGCTGCTGAAGCAAAGGTTATATGGCATAAAAAAGATTTGTGAGTAGTGTGTGGTATGCTGTCGGACACTTTTTAATTGGCCATGGAGGCTATTTGTTTTTACAACTGTAATCTGTAGGTTAGGGTGTTAGCCAGTCTGCTTTTGCATTTGCTTTAAAAAAAAATAGTTTAGTTTCCACTGGCCAAAGACTGGCGTATTCCATAAATAAAACAGGGTGCAGTATTTGTGTTCTTTCTGTGCTTTTTGTATTTGATTTTGTTGGCTTGGACAGGAGAGCAGGTATCAAGATTTAGCAATGGAATACATTTTCTGCTTTGCCTTTTAGCAGACTGTCTGCTGTGGTGAGAAAGGAAAAGGTATCAGTCTGCAGTTAAAATCTTGTATTTTCCCTGCTATTTATTGAGCAATAGTGATAAAGAGCAAGTAAGACTCTTAGTTTTCAGAAGAGCTGTTAATTTTTGTTGTTTTGGGAATGTTTTTCCTTAGAAACTTCAATATAAATTTACCTGTTGAGGGTAATGTCTGGTCAGTTATCGGCAGTTCACCATGGAAAAACAGGGATTTTCTCATTTTTAGGAGAAAAACACAGGAAATGTCGGGTTTTCCCTTGTAGGCTGTCAGAGTTCCAGCCTGCAAAGGGCTGGGTGGGGGTGGGGAACAGGAGGACGGTGATGAGGCAGGGGGTGCCACATGCATGTGCGTGTGCGCACATGCATGTGGCAGACCAGGCAGCATGGAGAGCAGCTCCCTGCAAGTAAGTCTAGGCGGGGAGATTTGAGGCCCCCATAGTGAGCGAGGGAGTTGAGCAGGGCTGGGGTTCCATCTGGGGACATGCATGGGGCTTGGGGTCTGGGGTCAGGGTGGAAATGTGTGGCTGCAGGGTCCAGCTGGGCAGCAGACAACTCGTCTAGGGGATGGTGGGCAGGCTGGCTCCCCACCACTGTGCGTACTCCCAGGTGGGCATTGGGGTCTCATGTGCCCAAGACGTGTATGGGGCAGGGGCAGATGCAGGCTGCCTGCTGTGGGCTTGGGGCTCCCCACTCTGCTGCCTACCCTCTGGGGCCTGTGTGACAGGGCAGCTGCTGCCAGGTGGGCAAGGGATGCCTTGCCTTGATGGCACAGGCCTCCAAGCAGTGGGTGGGACCCAGAACAGCAGTGTGGGGGTCCCCGAGCCTGCAGTGGGTTGGATGCTTCTGCCTCCCTCTATGCTTCATGTCATGGGCTCTACTCCAGCTGTGCCACTCATCGGGGAGGGGAAGCCGGGCTTCATGCTCCGCTCCAGTGGCAGGTGGAGCTCAAGTGCTCTTGGGGGGGGGGCAGGAGGCTGTGGACCTATGTGACTGGCCCTGTAGCCCTGGCATCTGGGGTGCTCCTGCCTCCCACAGCCACCCAACCCGGGCACCTGGGGACCTCTTCCTGCAGGGCCGGGAGGCTGTGGGTGGGGAGTGAGGGGCACTGGCAGGGCTGGGGGACTGCAGCTTGGGAGTAAGGGGCAATGGCATGGGTGGGGCATTGGCACATCAGAGCTATACAAAGCAGAGGAGGAGGACAGCCGGAGTTGAACCTGCGTCCTGGTGAGTGAAGGCGGCAGGAGGAACTCTGATTTTTCCATGATAAAAAAAAAAAAAAAAAAAAACAAAAGCCC